GATGCTTTAAACCCTTGACTTTTCAGGTTGTATTGACTTTGGCCAACAAAATCGAGCAACTTTCAATTAAAAACCAGTTTTGACTTTTCACCTGAGTCAAAAAGGAAGAGTATAATTCATTCTCTGATTACTCTACCCAGTTACTTATCTCCTTTCCAGGGGATGATGCACTGCAGCCTCCTCTGAGTATGGGGTTGTTGAGGCCCCAGTCCCACCCAGGTCTCTTTCACAGCATGGACAGATTTTCACAGAATATGCTGAGTTGAAAGGGACCCATGTAAATTGTTCTCTGCAATAATCTCCCACTGATTTTGATGAATACTAGTGTGGAGGGCACCTATTTAAACAACGAGCAGAAGAGCAAAGGTTTTCTACATAGCTATTCAGTGTAAAAGTGCTTTAAAAGGCAAACACATCATGTGTATATTAGTTTTTAAAAATGTCCCCCAAAACTGACTTCACAAGAAAGATTTTTCAGACACTACCTTTTTCTAGGCAATGAACTTATATATGCATAGTCATTTGTATTATACTTTCTAAGACTGAAATATTCTTTGCCTTTTTTTTTTTAATCTTGGAGAAGCAATTACTCAAGCCCTTGGAAAATGCTCAAAAATATAATGAGTAGAAACAGTATAAGCTCTAAGAAGTTTATCTTTGTCTCATCCACACATTCCCTCTCGTGCTTAAATCCCTGGAAAGGCAGACATACAGAACGGATTGCTGAGGTTTCTGCAGAGCTTACAGTTTAATTCATCTCCCTCCAGCAGAAATCTCGTGCCAATGGTGTTTTGTTACCGATCCTTGGGAAATTGTAGCAGCTATTGCAGAGTGGACATAACAAGACCCTTACATCTGCATGGTTGCACCGGCGAGCTGTGCTCTGAATAAAATAAAGGGCACTTGCAAGAACATTGCAAAGACTGCAACCCAAAGAATTGCAGGGAAAAACATTCTAATCTCTCTCCTTGGTTTTCAAAGCCCCAGTGTTAAAACCTGTCCCTGTTTAATCTTAAAAGTGTTCTCTATATGCAGAGGGATGTAACCTGAAGACTCGGAGTTCAGCTTCCAATGCTTTCAGGTGCAGCTTTTTATATCCCCTTTGCAGATCAAAGCTGGCACTTCGGGCAGTCTCTTACATCTGCCCACCAGCAGTGGTTTTGATTAACTCCCTGGAAGTCCACACTGTCTCCATGAACAGTAAGGGCTGCTCTTTTCAGCCTCACCATTGGGGTGCAAGCACAGGTCTCTGCCAGTCAGCCAGCTGTGTCACTTTGTTCTGCCTTTTTGCCTTAACGCTGCCACAGCACCATTTGCAGCTCCCAAGAAGCACAGACATTTCAAAGCTTCAGACTGAAATGCCTTGGTCAGAGTGGCTTTTGCCCCAGAAAGATACAGATACCTACACTATTAGATCCCATACTGTGGTTTGTAAAGCCACAGGGAGAGCTCTGTAGCACCAGGCTGTTTTAAAGTATAAACTGTAAAGGTGAGGATTAAGGTAGTTGTCTGCAGTCCAAAATGCAGCTTAAAAAATGAGCTCATCATTCTTTAATGTCAGTTTCTCCACCCTTCTGCTAGGCCACCACAGCTGTAAATTGAAGTTACAGTTCACTACAATCCCTGCATTTTCCCAAGTGATGGGATACAACTCACTTGTAAAAACACCACGAACAATGCAACTAGATACCCAAAGTTGACTGCAGCAGCCATGGTACAAACAGCTACCCACTGGTCCTGTCCCCACTGCAGAGCTGTGCCAGACACTCTTGGATCATGCTGGGAAAACATCCAGAGCAAGCTGGGTCAAGTCATCCAACACCCTCACCTATCCATTTAGTTAGATGCCTTTGTTCAGGCTGCTGGAAACACTGTGCCTCAGTTACAGGGTTAAAAAATAAACTTTCTCATCACCAACTCCTAGTTCCCTTGAGAAAAGCCACTCCAGAAAAGCCAGTACGGCCTCTGTGCAACCTTACAGACAGCCCTTCACTGCTGTTATCACCATCTAGGCTCATTGTATGGTCAGGGTTGTGCAACCATTTATATTTTCACTCAACTTTCCAAAATAACTATTTATTCTTTAAAAGAATAACAATTTTTTTGGCAAGATTGAATGAAAAGCTTCAGGGCTAGGATAACCACTAATAAGTCAGCTTTCATTTCCCATACGTGTATTAGCAGCTCTCCCACTGAAATAGTTTGGTGAACTAAAGTAGGTTTTGGTGCAGTGCTCTGATTTCTTGAGTATTATAGCAGTACGTCAGTGAATTCTGATTTTGGGTAAATAACACTGTCTTCTTTGAGACTGCAACCAATGGATGCAAGACCATCTCCTACTAATTTCTTGTTGAGTTTGGGGAGGTCACAGGAAGGTCAGGCTACTGGAAACACAATCCAACGAGTCCATCCTCTTTAAAGCAGGAAGAGAAGGACGGATGAACTTGCAAAATTCCTCTCTCTTTCTTTATTTTGGAACAAGAGATACGTAAGCCAAAAACCTTTACTCTTTTGCTTTGAAAGAACTTGGGAGTTAAGAAAGTGTTTTTCCCCAGTGCATCTCAAAGCTTAGAGAGATTTCAGTGGTATCTAAGCTGGTTATGTCTCAAATAGGAAAGTAGCTGCTGTTTTCTCTTTCAGGAATCACAAGACTGACATTGAAAAGAAGCCACAGAGCACAATTAGCCAAGTACTCAGCTGTCAGGGTGTGCCAAAACTGAGGCTTTGCACTCACCCTCCACTCCACACTCCTCACCTCTGGGAACCAGCATTACGATGCTATTTACATCATCACAGAATTTCCCTAATACAACTATACACATTCCCCCGTGCACCGTTGGGTTGTGTCTATAATAGCTAGGGAAGTAAAAGGTCACATCAAGGGCACCCCCGGATTCACAAATAATAGAGGCATAGAAAAAAAAAAAATCTAAGTTTTAGAGGGTAGAAAGGATTACTTCTCATTATCTCATTTTTGTTGAAAAAAACCCCAAAACCAACAAAAAACCCCCAACACCAAAAAAACCCACCAAAAAAAAAAAAAAACCAACCGAAAAACCCCCCTAAACCACAATGAAAACAAACAGAATCAGTACGCCCTCAAATAATAGTCAGTTATTGGAAGAATAACATTTTTTCAACTTCCAGTGGCACTGAAAATTGAGTGAAAATTAGTGTGTATTTTGTATCTGTCTGAAGGATTGTTACAAAAGTAATACATACACAGGTTGCTCTCCACATGCACAAAATATAAAAATATAACCCAATAAGCACATTTTTCCTAATACTACTACCTTAGAAGAAAAAAAAAAAAAACAACAGTTTTCAGTGAGTCCATCAGCAAGGACCAGGGTGGGATTGACTAGAAGGGATGGGAGGGGAAGCATTTTAGTGGTGCTGCTGTTTAATGTCAAATCCCAGTGTAAAGTAACAAAGGCAGCACAATTCAAACGGGGAAGAAAGGGGTAAGTGCACACACATACACAGGAGCAGAAGGGAGTGGAAAAGGAGCCTAATCAAAACTAACAGCTGGATTTCTGCTCATACTTCAAACTGAGAGCAGATAAAACCCTTCATTTTCAGTTCTTGAAAGCAAACCCCTGAAACCCATGCGGAGAAGAGCTCTGCAAAGAACCAGCAATCCTTTGAATTCCATCATTTGCAGAGGAACTACCATCTTTTCCACCTCCCTGAACATTTTTGCCCATTCTCGGTCATTTAGTTATTAGCACTACCATTACATAGTTACTGACCTTTTCTTTTCTATGACAAACACAAGCATTCCTTCTTGGAGCCTGAAGGTTCACTACCTGTACTCATTTTAGATGACTTCCCATCCTCTCTCCCCTCCTCCATTTCAAGCTGTGTGTTTCTTGAGCCACATCTCTTGAGAAGCCTAGGTATTCAGCATCTTTTCCTCTTGCCAGTAAAAGGTATGTATACCTCCTGGCTTCATGTTTTTCATTCTGGTCTGATGAAACCAGTCCCCTCAATACCCCAAACATTTTTCCCTGAAACACTGTTTCATAATTTAGGGTCAGCATCACAGATGCCATTTGGAAACCCAAATAATATGGACAGGGATCCAGTGAGACTTAGAGGAACTTCCAAAAACCCTGAACATCCCTTTGAAAGCCATAAGAAAACTTGAATTTGACATGTTTGGGCACTCTGGTGCATTGAAACATTTGCAGCACTTACTTTTAGTATCTGAATATCACCAGGGACAGACCCACAGCAACCAGTATTGTACAGGAAACAGGAACAGGGGTGTAAAACCTCAGAGCATTCCCAGCGCTAAATCAGGATTCCCCCAAACCTGTAGCAGAGTATGGCACTATTGCAGAAATACACAACCATAAGAGAAAAGGTACAGACCAGATTTTCGAAAGCTTGCTGGCACACTTCAACTGCACAGGCTTTGTGCAAGCAACTTCTGCCAGTGTAGCCAGCCTTGGCCAACTGCAATCTTTAGTGTGTCAAAAAGAAGTACCAGCACCCTCCAAGTGCTAAAAAACTCCCAGCATTTTAACCAGAACATATCCATCACACAGGAGGGAGGAAATTTCACCCAATCTCAGTATGCTGCTGAAATTTGAAAAACAAAGTAGCAAGAGTGTCTTCTGCAAGATGTATTACACTTTCTGCTGGTATTCCTGCAGAAGACAGGATTTGTCTCATGCTGTCTTGCAGCATGATCAAGGGCAGTGTATGGATAATAATCAAATTAATTCTGTTGCTAGCTTTCACAAGTGATAAATACAACACACAACTGAACAAGTAGCACCAAGACTGCCTGGAGGAAACAATTATTTAGTGCTTTCGTTAGGACAGACTCACTTCTCTCACATTTTTTCTTTGCATTCTCACATTTCACAAATCCCCTAAAGATCAACATTAGCTCCACGTTACATTAAATTATGTTATCTCCTGTGGCTGCAGCTGCCCGGGAACTGCCTGATGGAAACAGACCCAACATGCACTGCCAGACAAGCACCCACCTTGCGAGTACAGAAGGATCTGCATCTCCAGAAGAACGCAGGTGAAAACTTGGACCAGGTTCTCCAGGCCCAGCAGCTCGAAGACCTCCCGCAGTGGGTAGTCAGAGAGCGGCAGCTCGTTGGGCCCAGGCCTCTGGCAAATGATGGGCTCGTAAACCCCATAAAACTTGAGCGACCTCCCCGGGGGCGGCAGGGGCACCTCATAGAGGATGTTGTGGATGTAGCTCTCCAGGGGCAGCGGAGGCGGCTGCTGGGAGGTCACTGCCTTATAGAGCTGGATCAGGAACTTCTTGCAGGCTTGCATGAAGGGCAGGGGGGTGATGAGGCAGATGCATTTGGAGACGTACAGCGTGTCTCTGCTGATGTCGTAGGAATTGTACCGCTGGAGCTTGGCGAGGGACGTGGCGTCGCCCTCGTCGATGCTACTGGCCAGGGAGTCCATGCTGCACGAGGAGGAGGCACAGACACTGCTGTACTGCTCTGCATTGTGCATCTGGTACAGCGTTTGCATGGCTGTGCAGATCTGCTTGCTCGTGACCTCCTCATAGAACGTGAGCACAAAGCCGTACGTACGAGAGCCATCCTCTCTGGTGATGATGAATGAGTGGAGCTGTGGATCCCTGTTATCTGCCTGCGTCCTGAAGGACAGCCCTTTGGGCATACACAGCTAAGAAAAGAGAGAAGATATAGATACAGTTATCTAAGCTACAATTTTATTTTGTTATTTTTGCACATTCTTTTTATCCGCTGCATCACAACAAGCCATTTATCACTAAACATAATCCCCCTGAAAAGTATCCAAGAACAAACAGCCTAAAACTAATGCTACTAAAAAGAAGAGGTAGACATGACTGAAGAAAGGAAAACACCTTTCAAAATTACCCATCTATTAAGTCATTACGACTCATTTTCATTACTTTCTGAAATTTTCAAAGCTGAATAGTCTTTGTGTCATTTACTTAAGTATCATATAAAAACATCCAGTTTCGTTCTCATTTCCATATATCATGCCCACAGTGCTCTAAAATCAGAGAGCCAAAGAAGCATCTTATACCACTGAATTAAAATGAAACAGACTTCTTGAATTTCTTTGATCTTCCCTAATTTTATGGAAAAAAAACCCCCACAAACCAAGCCCCAAATGACTGGCAGATATTAAGCTACCACATTTACTTTCTTCTTTAAGTGCTACAAAATAGTTTAGATTGGAAAAAAATGGAGTCGGGGGGGATAGGGAGGGAAACACCCAAAATCTATGACAGCCTCCTTTTTGATCTACCACTCAGCAAAATCCTTTGCAGTGATTCTACTACACTGGGTGTTTCTCTGAAACATGCCCCTGGTGATAACTGGAGGCATTTTTCCAGACATTCCTCGGGAGTGCTATCAGCCATCTAATACACAATAGCAAACATCCAGCAAAACTTGTTTGAATGTGCATCAGCAGGAAACTCCTCATGTTCTAGCTAAATCAGTATGTTTATAAACGAAGAACTAAAGCTGCCTTTGTACCCTCTGTCTGAAGAAATAAAAAAGAAAGAAGAGAGGGAGAGCCTTCAAAGCGTTTCTCCTTTTCCAAAAGGCAACAGTTGAAGCCGACTTTCCCAAGGGATGTGAACCTACACACAACTGAGTGTATCCCCTACTGCCTCACCTTGATCTGAAGTAAATTCTTCTGATGGTAGAAGAGGTCAAGAGAAATAATCATACATTTTCAGGCACATCCTACCCTGAACTTCTACAATGCACCTTGCACAGACCATTTGAAAACCTGATTTGAAAAGCTGCTACCAGCCCAGCTGAGATTTAGACAAGTGGTCCAGGACTCACTTCACAACAGGTTATCAGGCTCCTAAATTATTCAGGACAGCTCTTATATATTGCTCAAAAAGGTAATGCATAGGGAAAGAAGTAGCCTGGAGCTGGCAAAAAAATTTAATTCAATTGATGGGTTTTGCTGATACAAACCATGAAACTGCAGCTTGAACCATTTTTAAACTGCAGCCACATTTTCATTCAAAAGCTTTACAGTTTTTATTGCTGCGCTAACAGTAGTGCCATGGTTAAGGCTTCTCTAATAAAGAAGTAGTAAAAAATCCTTGTTTCACACTTATTTAAATTTATTCTGCCCAATAAATATCTCTCTTCACCTCATTTTTTTGACAGGCTTGCTTAATAAAAATTTATTTCTAGAATGTAGGCTTTCAGTGGTGGCTATAAGCCTTATCAAAGCCAACCAGGTTGAAATCATAGGTTTAAATCTTAATGCTATTGAAGATTATATTTTTTCTTCACTATACAGAAAAATACCTGCATAAGAAAATTATATATACTGCTAAGATCAAGAAGAGATAAGCATCAGGGAAATTCAGACCAGCTGAGACAGTTTCAGAAGCCTGTTTAAATAATTTTCCTTCAAGTCTTAATTGTTATTCCCTTGTCCTTTATATACTGAGTATATACACACAAAGGGAAACTCATTTATTAAGTTTCAGCCACAGCTTGACATATGCAGAATAACAACATTTTCAGACCCTGGCTGCAAACCCTGGCACAGAGACTGCTGCTGTTGTTAGACCTACAAGAGGACACGGGAAAAAGCAGAGAAAGAAAGAAAGAAGACGGGAAGCACCGAGGCAAGAAGAACGACCAGGAGACACTTAAGAAGCCGAGATCAAAAGGAAGAGCCTGTACTCATCTTCCAGCGATACAGAAAGCTTTGAATTTGCGGTTAATGCATGAAAACTTTCATCTTAGGGCCTCGGATATCAATCACTTCCCATCTCATCTGTGTCACACATGCCACAGGAGAGTGTTGGGGAAGAGCAGCTTGGGATGTGCTAAGGGGGGTGAAATCTTTGCCTGCTGGTGTGAAGTTGGCTGGCTAACAGTGAGAAGGCAGTCAGTCACCTGTACTGCATCTTTGTATAAACACTGAAAACTGTCCAAGGTTACTGATCAAAGGACAGGATTTTGGTTTCCAGAGCACTTCACTATTTACATTTAAATGTATGCATCAGTAGAAAAATCTGGAATTAAATCATATTTGCAATAAGGCTTTTAACCAAGATGGTTTGTAAAAATACAAGGAAGCTGCACCAAGGCAGTTAAAAAGGTATCAACTAATCCATAACCTCTCTCTAGAAGCCATGAGTAGGAGATACCCTTTCTCTAAACACAGAGGCAGGACATACACACTGTAATCCCTCCCTCCTTCTTCTCCTGGACATCACTTCTTCCAGATATTTCTGAAGCAAAAGTCCCCTCTGGACCACTGCCCACTAGCACTGGTTCATCTCTTCTCTATTAGATCCTCCATTTCAGTTTTTAAGCCACCATATACTTCTCATGTTCACAACATGCAGTGGCAGCAAGCTCCATACCCAAACTGCACTGAGGGTGAGGGGGTGGAGAGAAAGACGCTTTTGTTTGTGTTAAAGCCTCATCCTTCAAATTACACCAGGGAACCTCTGATTCTTTTATTTCAGTACATGAGACGTTAAGCAGATAATGCTTCCTTGGAGTTCAGAAATACAGGCAAAGATTTATATATCTTGATGAATCAGAGGGCTAAAAGAGCAGGCTTGTTTCCTAAAAATTCCAGTTTCCTGTCTACTGATAACTTCAGTTTGGTAGAACACATCACTTGCAGAGTGGCCACAGAGGATAGCATGTGAGGCTAGGCAGGAATAAGCACAAAAAGCAGTGGGGGGAAAGAAACACTTCCCTATTAAAGAGAACTCTGTACTTTGATACATACTTTGAAAGTGAGAGAAAACATGACTCTTAGGCAGTTTGATTGCTTGGAAGTTCAGCGGGGTTATTTTTAAAGCCACAGGATGGTTCCAGAAGGCAATTGAAACTCCTTAAGCATCCAGCAAAGCCAGAGTTCTCACAAGTTAACCTTCAAGGATTTATGCATTTTCTTCTCTGAGGAAAATTGCTTCTGGAAGCTCACACATAAAGCGAACACATAGGCAGAACTAATACAGCAAGGCAAGATCAGAAAGGCCAATAATTGCCTCAAGGGATTCTGTGGAAGTGGATATTATTTTAAATGATGCTTCAGATCAAAACAATAAAGAAGTTTTCCAAAAGATGATTTAAAAGATTATTAAATACTGCTGCTGTTAGTAAATGTTGGGTTTTTTTCCTCCAAGACACATTGCAAATGAAAGATGTGTTCTTCAGCTGTTTGATTTTAGTTGAATGCAGCTCAGTTCAATTATTTTATTTTAATAGGTCTCTTGCTGGTCTTAGCATTCCATTTTTATCTGATACTATGACCACACTTCATGAATATTATACATTTTCAACTGTAATGTGAGAGACAAATACTGCAGCAATTCCAGCTGCTATATTCTTGCTGCACAACCCCCACCATTTCTCCTCTTAACATGCCCAATTCAAAGGCAGAACTAAAAGGCATAAATAGCCTTAGCAGTTGAATTATTACCATCTTAACTGCTGATGAAGCATTGCTCAGAGTCCTTCATGCCTTCTGTATTAAGCAAAGTGATGTGGAGACCTGCCCAAATACCACACCATCTCCAGCAGTGCACATTTGGAAGCAGGGGACAGAAATCCCCAGCTGTCAGCAGGCAGAGGGAGAGACCGGGCTCATCTCTGCCTTTCTGTGCATGTGCAGCACCACAGCATCAGTTCTATGTCACTGCTACTTCCAGCTCCTGTATTTCCATGTTAAATATTTGACACAGGGCATAAAAGGAGAATTCAGTGAAAACTGAGATGAACTTCAGATTTCTACATCTACATCTTCATGATTGCAGGGAAGTTACAAATGCATTTTTGCGTTTGCAAAACCCATTTTATTGTGGGTTTTATCTATTTCTCACCTCTCTATCTCCTTGGTGAGAGCCAGGAGATTCTCCTGACTTCATACCTGCACCATACAGTGAGATCAGTTCTGTTTCGTAGCTAGGATGCACTCCTACCCTCTGCAAATGCAAAGATCATCTAAACTAAACTGGGGGGGAAGGGGCTCCCTCATTTTCCAATATTGAGTTAGACTCAATAAACATTTTTGAAAACAGCTAGAAGCTAGTTCCTGTTAAATTATAAAACAAATAGCATTGTCTGTACTGGGAAGCTCAAATACCAGTAATCTGTTGTCAGGTTATATTCCTAACAAGTGCTTTGCTGATTTTGAAAACATCCTTTGAACATTAGCTCTTCAGAAAAATCCCCAGTGGATCATAAGTCTTTCAGTTGTCACTGCCCCTACTCCAATAACTGTTTCTTCCTCCCTTCCCAGTCCATGGGACTAAGCAACACAGATGCCCACATCAAATTCAGTTGAGAGGAAAGAGATGTACCAAAGGTGCACTGATGCAGAGGTGCCATAAAAAGTGATGACCCAGCAAAAGCTGTGGTTTAGGTAAGTTCCAGTTTCTGCATAAAGATTCCTCTTTCCCTTGCTATATGGAGAATCACAAGGTGATTTCACAGGGATATTAATATCTTAAAAATTCCTTGGTTTGCCTCCTGTGGATGTGTATTCTGGGTAACCACACCCCTTCTCACCCAGTCACTGGCATGGTGGTTAGATTTGCTCCATTTGCTCAGATTTGTAGACCTAAAACTACAACTAACGAGGGGAATTCAGCATTTTACTTTTGCTGTGCCTGAAAGTATCCTGTATCTTCACAATCCCTCTAACTCTACAGCTTTGCGACCAGCACACCCAGTGGGTGCTCTTAGTCCCAGCAGAAGCACCTTGTTCATCACATCACAAGGGCTGGTTGTAAACAACTCAGGCACTGCTTAAGAGCTGAAACTGTCAGGTAACAGCTTGAGAAGAGAGTTTTCTACCTACCATGTTGACGGCATCCTGGTCAAAGGGGTTCCACTCGATGTTCTGAGGGTAATGGGCCAAAACTTTGGACTTGAAGGTTCTCCTTAAGGGACTCTGGTCGAAATTCTCTCCTGCAACAAATGAAGAAATAATGATTTGTCACAACAGTGAGGCTTCAGAGAGAGCTCACTTGGGCAGCTTTCTTTTGTTTTTCTTTTTTTTTTTTTTTTTTTTTTTTACTTTTTGTGAAATCTGAAGGGCATTTTCACTTCCAACAAAGGTACTACTTTTAAAGGAGAAACAGAAAAGATGCACATTTGGTCTGACATTACCCTCCTTCCCACAAAATCTTACCAACCAGTTTCCAGCTTAGTATTTATGGCATGGAAATATATTGTCAAGAGAAAAATGACTGCTGGGATTTTATAGAAAAAGACCCTGAAATGAACTGAGTTCTTCACCTTCCCCTGTAGCTTGAATATCTAGAGATGGCTTTACTTAGTCACTGAACTTTGCCTCAAGTTTGTTAGAAACTGTCTTAAGGTCAATAAAAAAATATGAGCACCTCATGGCTATTATAAATTATTCAAGAATTCATTATAGATGATCTTTTTTATATCACAAGTCCTGTGTGAAAATTAAACATTTATTTTTTCTGCATCAAATTTCAAGGGCAGACATTATCCACACAAAGAATCCAGCGAGTGCAAAGAGGAAGATAAAAATTAAACTTCAAGCAGAAATGCATCCAGTTATCAGCATACAAATACTGTATTTCACAGTGATATTTTTAATGGAGTTTCCCCCACTGGATTGCCTACAGTATGCAAAACAGCAATCAAAACAAGAAGTTAAAATCTACTACACTTTTTTCAGGTATCAGGTTACTAATTCCAGTGTTCTTGCTTTAAAACTAAAAGGGGGTCTTTCCTATTCATTTGCTTTCTGAGAGAGATGTTGGGTGGAAAGTTTTTGATCAACCTTTGCTTCACACTCAAAGGCTCCCTTTAGGGCTTCTTAGTGTTACCTAAGTACTTCTCAAAATATGTCACTGAAATAGAATTGGATTTCTTTTCTTTACAAAAGAATATTATTTCTCCTTCTACTAAAAGAGAGAACCAATAATTCACTAATGTTTTCAATGAAAGGTCATTTTGGATTAAAAAATACTCAATTGTTCGGCAAGTTCTAAAGGCAATCCACCATTCCTGAGGTCACTGACCTCACTAACCCCTCTCTGAAGGCAACATGGACACAAGTATAAGTTATGTTTGCCGAGTTACACACAACAATTAACCCTTCGTGCAGCGAGCAGCCTATGAGATGTTGCAAAATTCACAGTTAGGGAAAACAAAGGTTTCTGAGGCTGCAGCCACTTGGTACATACCCTTTGCTCCTTGCAAAGCACAGTCTACACAATCATTTGGCTCAGAGTGAACCAATCAAAGGAACTTGCTGTACAAACTGACATCTGAAAGCAGAGCGTCTTGGTTTTTACCTGGCAGAGGTCAGTCCGCAGGTAATTGTGGGGAACACAAAGGAATGGAGAGAAACACAGTGGTAGATCACAAGGTAAAAATTATCAGGGCAAAATTTTAAGAAGGTTGAAAACTGTTTGTTGTATGAAACCCTTAGCACATCTTCAGTGCAGAGGGCAGAAGCTGCACTGTGTCTCAGGGGTCGTTGCAGCAGCACCTGCACAACAGAGGCAGGTGGAGGAAGAGGAGGCAGAGGTCAGGTATTTCTTACACCAACACCTGCCTGCTTGGTCAGGAAGGGGAAGCAGAGGCTTATGCTGGAGTTTCCCTCCAGGAGGATGCGTGTAGGCAGATGGAAATTCCTCGAGCCATGTGTCAGTGGTGCTGGGATTGCATCTCACCCTGCTGTGAGAGTCACTGCACCGAGTTCAGGAACCCGGTGGAGCAGAGCAAACCACCTCTTCCAACAGCACTCACATTCAAATGCATTCAGAGGGCTTAAAATCTTTTTCTTCCCAGCTGCAGCTGTATTTCCTGAGGAAGGAAATGGTAAGATGGGGATTGGATGAGGGGACTGGGGAGATCTTGCTCTACAATTACCTCAAAGGAGATTGTTGTGAGGGAGGGTGTTCAGATTCTTCTTTCAGGTAACAAGTGACAGGACCAAAGGAAACAGCCTCAAGTTGCATCAGGGGAGGTTTATACTGAATATTAGGAAAAATTTCTTCACAGTAAGGGTTGTTAAGCATTAGAATGTGCTGCTCAGGGAAGTGTTCGAGTCACCATCCCTGGAGGCATCTACAAGACATGTAGATGTGGCACTTAGGGACATGGTTTAGTGGTGGACTTGGCAGTGCTGGGTTAACGGTTGGACTTGGTGATCTTAGAGGTCTTTTCTGAACTAAATGATTCTATGATTCCACATGGGGACCTCTGGCAGGGGAAAGAAGCCTGTTAATGTAATTTCTCGAGGCAAACCAGAAATCCAGCAAAAGTATATGCATCACTGAAATATAGGAAACTGTTAGCAAAACTGGATCAAATAAGGGAACATGAAGATTCTCTCCATGCTCAGTTACAAAGTCAGACTGAAATACCAAAAAATAGAGACCATCACTTTACTGTAGAATGTAATTTCTTATTTTGGTCTAAAAGTTCTTTGCAGAGGCATTAGAGATAAAGATATGTCATCCACCAATTTCTAAAGCTTCACAAAATAAAGATCTCAACAGGCAACACCAGCAAAAATTCTCTCTCCAGGTATTTACTTAAACACACTCAACAACATTTTTAATTCTTAGTATCAGACCATAATTAATGTGCTTGCATAATCAAACAAATATGCATGAGGATATTTCCTAATTAGATCTTCCGGCATTCTCACATCTGACAGAGTTTACCTGACAGCTGTGAATTGGCAGATAGGCAGGTATTTGATGCTAAATTTGTTTGGTTGCTTCTACTAAAATTTAGAAGAACTGGATGACTTCATTCAGTTCATTAAGACAGCAAGTGATTGCTTGAGTCCAAATGTCTTTAAAGTTTTCCTTCTTCATAACACAAAAACGTTACTGGAACCTAATGGATGGATGCTAATCAGGTAATTTGTGTGGTTCAGAGGTACTCATCACTTTTGCAGTTCATCACTTGAGCCCTTCACAGGTTCTCTGGGGGCCAGTGTTCCACTCTATCTCATATAGATGTTGTAAAAACATCTTTTGCTTGAAAAATTTATTTCCAAGTTAGACCAAAAAATACATCACTGAGGATGCAAGAGCAGTGAAGGCCCTGATATCTTCCTGTTCTTATCATTTAATATTCTTTATCTCATTTTTCCTATAAAGCACACCCCCTGCCCCTAACTTGGTGGACAATACTCTGGGGCATCTAGAACCAGTGGAGAAAAACAAGGTGAATTTGCTAATAAACCACTGTAATAATGATAAAAGCGGGGTTTCAGTCAGCTTTTGGAAGTGACTGCTAATTTGTATACTGCTGAAGATATTTGTGCAGTCGTTTAGATGACAGATAGGTCTAAAAAGTTTTGGTTATGAAACACAAACATTGCTTTAAGAAATCCAGCTTCCCAAAAACAGCAGTTCCAATGTTCTAGTAGGCTGACAACATGGATTCATTTTATCCAGAAAAGTAAATGGCACAAACAACTTACCTTTGCAGAGTCTCTGCAGTGTTTGCATTTTATTACTACTGTGGCTTAAAAAAATATAAATTAAAGGTAAAACACACAGAGAGAAAATATGATTTTCTCAATCAGTGATCACAAAACAAAAGAGAAAAAAAGCCAAGAACCCACACCACAGTGATTAGCTCAAAAGGACACAACATAGCACCCCCCTATACAAAGTTACGTCCCAGAGAGTCAAACAGGGTAAACGTTTAGAGAAGACACACAATTTAGGAAAAACAGTATGAGGATATGACAGGAAGCAGCCTGCGTGTCAGGGTGAAATGTCATTGCTTGGTCAAAGTAGCAGGAAACCCCCCAACTCTCACTGAAATGAGATGAGAGACAAGGACCACGACAGCCAGCTCCACACTGACAAGCAGCTGGAAGAGAACCACAGGGAGCAAAACCTTCTTGGCAAACAAGAGGGAAGGGATCTGGACCAAAGGGTACATGATAGTATCAGCTCTAAGCCTTGGTAGTTCTGAACTACTGAGCCACACGTAGAATTTACTTAGCTGTTAGTCTACACAAACAGTGAATTTTCATTAAATCTACTATGTGCTTTTAAGTGCTTGCTTACTAACTTTCCAAACAGGATTAGCAAGGCAGATTAAAAATGAAGCAAGTATCAAATGTGGATTGAATCCATATACTAAAATATTAATGGGCAGATAACAGTACTGTGAACATAGCCAGAAACATCTTACTTGATGTGTGGTGCCGATTCATGCAAACAGCACAACTCATTGGGTAAGCTTCCTCTCAGAGGCAAGTTAAAAAATTGGGTTTGAATGGAAGCCTTTTGCTCTCAGGATATTTTCAAAAAATATTCAAATAACTTTCAAAATTGTGTAAAATATGTCAGACTCAATTTCCATTTCAGTTGGACACTACACCCTATGTAACTGTACTCTTACACAATTTGTGCCTCCCCTTTAAGGCACTGGTTTTTAAAGGGACATTTAGTTTCAAATTAAAAGCAACTGGTGAAGTGACAGATGCTAGATCAAGAAAAACTGCGCTAATTTAATTTCAAAATGAGAAGATTTCTCAGAATTGGAAAATACCTGTGGTTTGGATACAGGATACAATTACTAGGGAAATGCAGCTACAATTGTGAGGTTGTCAGTCATGATGGCTTTCATAAGAGTGATCCTACGTATAAATTTAGTGATCTTAGGGTTTAAGCAGATCTGTTTCAATTAATAATCACAGCTACAGAGGCATAGAAATCCATGTACCAAATAGGCAGAGGCATCCCTCCACCCACACCCTCATGTCCAGGGAATGCAAGCTATCTGTCGCTCCTTCCAAGCCCTGGAATGTCAACAGGAATGCCTGTGACTACAGAAATAAAAATATCTTTTATTCCTTTAGAGGAATGTACTAGGAGTGCAACCATGCCCAGTGCTGCAACTCATGGTGACCATCTCTCTGATAGCTATTTCCAATTAAAAGTGTCCAG